AGAGGAATAAAGTTTTCTCCTCTCAGTTCCTTTTCTTTGTCTGGGAAGTCCAAATTGTGAAAGGCGGTAAAGCTATCTAGTATTCAAACAATCGCATAATATCTATTTCTTGCTGCTAGTCAAAATTCTAAAACAAGTATTTACAAGAAAGGCAACACTTGACATCGGGTAAATTATGATTAATTTGCCTAATTAGGATTTGGAGATAAAAATACAAACATAACACCTAAGGTTTCTTATATATCACGTCTAAGACATATTAAGCATTACGCTTGGGTTTGATTGCATCACACTATAAGAAAATTTAGAAGCTCTCGTATATTTTATTGACTAAATGAAGTTTATTATTGTAAGAATAATTATAATGCTTCCTAAATAACCTTCACCAAATAGTATTAAACTAAGAAATACTAATATTGTTAAAAATTGAAATAATACGACTAACACAAATAAAAAAACTAAATACTAAAAGAGAATAAAATTTTAAAATTACTAAAACTATAATAATAGACTTCAAAAATAGTACAATAATTTTATATCTAAAAGAATTAAAATTTCTAATCTATTGAGCATATCAAAACCTAAACCATTCTGTACCAACACTTCTCCATTCTCCCTCCACTTTAAAAGACTACGAAAAGAAAAGCAATGAAATATAAGAGTAGATCCTTGTGTCCCCCCAGAAAGTTTGAAGTTCTGCGTTGTATGTTTGAAATATTGTTCGAAAGTTATCCTACTTACTGACAAACATTCAAAAGAAACTGGAAGTTTATCCTACTTTAACATTCGAAGAGAATACAAACAGATTAACAGGGAAAAAACCAAAATATACCTTGGCTTTTGATAGGGTATCTGGAGGAGACATAACATTTGGCTGCACATAATTCTTTCCCCGGTAGAATATTATAGAATTGTCAGGCTTTATATCAATCGCAATGCCTTTGCTCAGTCGAGCAAGTTCCTCAGCATATTCATGAACCTGCCCTGGTTTGCAAGGCTTGCAATAAACTTTTACAGTTTCATGTTTCTTCCAGTGGAGATGCATATTGAGAACAACACCTCCAAATACTCCACGCCTCCCAAGTGGAACATAATTCTTCTTTTTCTCACCAGTACGCTTTAGGTAATGCCTTTCTTCCTCAGTTAAAATTTCCGGATCATATGCTTCAGTCGGGGCCTTAGGAACCTCGAATTTCCTCAGTTTCTCAATCAACCATTCTTCCTTCCGTTTGGCCTGAGATGTAACAGCAAGCAACAACTCGAAACAGTTAGAAAGATTCCTGATGAGTTCAAATTGAATGCATCGATCATAATATAACTATTATTCCCTTGCTAAAGAGAAGCCAAAACAGTCGTATATTAACCATGGAAAATATATGAGAATTAATAATCCCGAATACTGGAAAGCTACATATTTGTGTATCATGTATCTAATCCCATAAAGAAAGAAAATTTTCGACACTAATCACCTGAATATACGACTAGCTCAAGAATAGGATCCAACCTTTTCAAGTTTGTATCTAATCCTAACTTCTGGATTTGGAGAATTCATCTTCTTTTTCGCTTTAAGACGATAGAGCCGTAACTCATTCAATTTGGCTTTTCGTGACATTTTAGCACGTTTGAGATTCTTCTTCTCTTTCATTGAAGGGCCAGTTTTATCAAGTGGTTTATTAATAGAAAACCTGACAACGTCATCCTCTGTTTTTAATTCAATCGATGCATTACTCATGTATCTTACAGATTGACAATTCAAGTAGCTCGGTCTCCATTTCAAAGAAAACCCACAGGAAAATGATTCACATGGATCTTCTACAAAAGGTCTCGTGCTTCTGTAGCTTCTATTGTTCACATGAGTGAGATAAACATGCGGCTGCATAAAGGAATATGCTCTTGGCAGCAGTGAGATTTCAGACTCATTTTTAACTAGACAACACAGCCAGAATAAATAATCCCTACATAAAGAAACCAGAATCCATCAACGAAAAGGCTATAGTAAGATAAACAGACATAAAATACATCTCATTCAAAAGTCTCATTCATATATTGAGAAAGAAAGAAATATAAATAATTAGGAGCAAATGTACAGAAGACATCAGTTAATTTTATCAGGATCCCAA